GCTTGAAAGCTCATCTTCAGCCTATAACTAATTAGATTAGTTAAAAGGGGAATTTGAATTTGCCCAGGGAAATAGGCTTCTTATTAAGCTTTGTGGAATATGGGTCTTAAGTGAAATCCTGAGTTCCATCCAGAACCTTCTGAGTCCGGACATTCCCACTTGAAAAGACACACAATTGGAACAGCTAGTACAAGAACAGAAAAAAAGACCAGAAGGCAAAAAGGATGTTAGGATATCAAGCAAGCTGTTTACCTTGGAGTCATCAAGGCAAGAAAAGTCAGCTTATCAGGGAAAACCCCCTTCTAAAACTAAAACTCAAAGGGAACCCTCAAGCATTCTAATATGCTTGATGGTGACCACCTAGGTCTACTTGTGAATGGAAGTGGGGGAAATGCAGCTATGAAGACATGGGCTAAGTTTGACCATATCTCATTGGCACCTGTTGACCTTGAGATGATAGAGAGAAGAAGGGTTGGTTGGTGTGAAGTTTAGGGTGATGTGTGAATTCCGAAGCTCATAGACATTGACCTGGCCACTGGGGGCTAGAGCTGAGAGAAGTATAGAGAGGTGTACATGAACTACTAAACTTGCAGATAGTACCCACTTGACCTACTTTGGATAGCTAGCTGACCAGAACTTGACCAAATGAATATAAAGAAGTTTCATACTGTCAGCAAGCATAAATAGCTACAATTTGATGACCTGGACCTTTGCTTATGGATGCAGTTGCTCAAAATTCTAGGCAAGATGGAAGGATTCTTCATATCAAGAATCAAACTTGTTTTCTCAGTGCACTGGGTTGATAGGGATGGGCAATTTAGACATTGACTATCAAAAACAAGGGCCTATAAAGGCACAAAGTGACTGGCTCACAAGTTTCATGAGTGTGCTTAGTTTCAGATGAGGGGTGTAAGGTAGAAGCTCCACTGAATAGTTTTCCTCTTTTCCAAATGGATCTAGTGAAAGGGGATGGGGGATGATGGTGATAGGATTTTATGCTTCAATGGCAAGTAATTGTTATCAGGACTAACTGCAATAGCAGTAATTGTAGAAGATGTGTAACTGAAAGGGGGAAGCAGTTAATCTTTCATTTCAGAAACAGAGGACTCCAGGACTATCAAGAAGGAAGAGCATGAGTGGAGCATGAGATTCTACCCAGAAAAGTGGCGACAGCAAAGACAATGGCAGAGGTGATGGCATAGAGAAATAGAACAGCTGAGGACTCTAGGCCCATGGACTAAGAAAGGCTGTGTACCTGTGGGCAGGAGGCTGGCTTCCAAAATATGCCCTTTAGACATTTAAATGTATATATATTTTTTGGTTTGTATATGAACATCAAAAAGATTGACTACATCTGTGGAAATGATAGTGGGAAAGCTCCATATCATCAGCCAAAACAAGGCCAGAGGCAGATTGTGGAACAGACCATCGATTGCTCATCTGCAAATTTATGCTGGAACTGAAGAAAGTGAAAACAGGTTCATGAGAGCTGTGACCTTGAACATATCCCACCTGAATTTAGAGACCATCTCAATAACAGATTTGATAAATCTGTTTGATAAACAGAACAGTTGTGGGGTAACATCAAGAACATCATATAGGAAGAAAGCAAACGATCACAAGAAGACAAAAAAGAAGGAAAAGAGCAAAATGGATGTCAGAAGAGACTCTGAAACTTGCTCTCCAGCGTAGAGATGCTAAAGCAAAAAGAATAAATGAGGAGGTAAAAGAGTTGATAGAAATTTCAAAGGACAACTCGAGAAGACAAAGTCAAATATTATAATGAAATGTGCAAAGATCTGGAGTTAGAAAACCAAAAGGGAAGAACACACTCAGCATTTCTCAAGCTGAAAGAACTGAGGAAAAAATTCAAGCCTTGATTTGCAATATTGAAGGATTCTATGAAACCCTGTGGGGAGATCGGCTCTCCACGGGAGTTGTGGGACATGAGAGGATCCACGGAATTGCTGGTGAAGAAGAAATGAATGAATACAATCGAAAGGCTTTTCAGCTTGCTGTTCTCTCCAGCTTCTGCCTTCTGTTTTCTTTCTGCCTCTGCCCCTACTGCCTCTACTCCTGCTCTCTGTTTTCCTCTGCTGCTTCTGCCCTCTTTCTCTTCCTCCTACTTTCTGCTGCTTCTGCCAGCCCAGCTCAGCAAGTCTTTATTTTTTATACTTAAAACTACACAGTTAGTCACAACATTCTTGCACCTGGTCATTAGACAACCTTGACAAAAATACTTCTGTGATATTCAGACTGACCTTCAT